ATCGACCGAACAGGCCGCCCTGGCGCGATTCCTCCGGCGCGGACTTGTTTACACCATCCCCGCCGAGAACGGTGGCCCCTCCTCTTTTCTTTTCTTCGCCTGTGCAACACAAATGTTTATTTTGGTGATTTACGGAGCCCTAAACTCCTCAAATTTGATTTACACGGACCCGGGTCCGGAGAGGGCCGAATCGCCGTTCGCCGTCAGCCAACGACCGCGGCGCTTACGTCCGCGCTCGCCTTTTGGCGGGAATCCCAGTCGGACCCCGGCAGTGGCGTGGCGTGAATAATCGATTATCGATATCTCGCCATTTAAACCTATGGTAAAGAATCGATTACTAAGGTGTTCGCTGCGAACACCCTGATAATCGATCTTTTTTCATAGGTTTAAATGGCATATCAATCGATGTATCGCAATTCACGCCACGCCACTGGACCCCGGGGCTCGGACCTCGTCTCCGCGGATTTTTTGCACACGACTCTCCGCCGCCCGCCAATTGGACGTAATTCTATCAAACGGAACTAAGAGCATTATGACGTGAGCCCTGTTATGCATATATTCTAATGGGTCTCAGGGCCCATGTCTTAATGCACATAGTTCCGTTTGGCATCAGAAATACGTCCAATTTTCTCCAAGGGATGCACGCGTACATGCATGCTCGCGGAACAACAATAATAATGAGAGCAGAAAAAACAAACCACTCGTCATGAGTCAGTTGCCATAGGCGGAACCGAGAAGTGGTGGAGCCGGGGGAGGAGCAGGGTCCCCTCTTGCAGCCGGCTGATTGTCGCGATGGAGGTGTTGCATGTGTGAGGGATTTGCGATTTGACTGTTGATTCTTATGTAAAAGTTTGCGGGAAACACGATGGTGCCACTGGTTTTCTATGAAATCAACTCCCAAGCTCAAAAAAAGCTCTCAAAGTGAGGCGAAAATGGAGGGGATATCCCACGCTATCCTGAGAGTCCACCTCTACATCAAGATAAACTCTCCATGCAAAGATAGGGAGCAAATGCATGATGCCGTGTCTTCATTTTTGGACGCTGGCGCCTACAAACCTAACAGGGATACTTCACGCATTGCGCAATGCGTGAAGTATCCCTGTTGGGGTTGTAGGCGCCAGCGTCCCCAAATAGAGTGGCAACTCTGCTAATGTATTTGCTCCCTATCTTTGCATGGAGAGTTTGTTTTGATGTAGAGGTGGACTCTCAGGGTAGGGAGGGATATCCCCTCCATTTTGGCCTCAACTTGAGAGCTTTTTTTGAGCTTGCGAGTTGATTTCAGAGAAAACCAGTGGCACCATCGAGTCTCTCGCGAACTTTTACATAAGAATCAACAATCAAATCGCAAATTCTTCACACACGCAACATCTCCGTTGATAGACAAAGAGGTCACAAGGGATATGGAGGGATCCTATCGGAGGAAACGGGTGATTGCAATGGATATAGGAGGTAGGTAATAGGCTAACTAGCGGCAACCCACGATAGACCCTAGTTAGTTCATCATTTACCCCCTTTGTCTATCAGAACCACCCATTTCAACCAACAGCATCACTCCATACTCCCTATGTCTTCTGTGTCTATAGCATTTTTTACTGATTTTGACAATCAGCCCACTGGCCAGAATCAGAAAGAAGAAAGAGAGGAAAATGCCGGCAGAACACAACCCTCTCAGGATTGAAACAGTTGTCCTGTCAGTATGAAACATTGTAATTGTGGCTTGGAGGACAAGGTGCATAAGTAAGGTTTTCGCTATTTCGAAAAATAAGTGTTTGAAATTTCGAAAAATAAGTGTTTGAAATTTCGAAAAATAAGTGTTTGAAATTTCGAAATTACATGGATCCTTATGGTGGAAAGGAAGTTCAAGCTGACTTTTGAATGCTCAAAAATTGGAACTTGGGAGCAAATTTTTCCTCAGAATATGCATTAAGACTAGTTTTAATTGAAATTATTAATATCTCAATTTTTTCAAAAACTGCACTGAGGCGCCTTGTCCTAAAAGCCCAGTGTTGTTCAGTGTTGAAGTATTGTCACTATCCCATGGACGGGTTAGTTGAACGTGAACATGTCTGTCTCCGCGATATGGTGGGTTTACCATTTGCACTGCATTTTGCAATTTGGACCTATAAATTCTGGCCCGGTTTAAAAACAACGTATGCGCCATTAGTTTTCCTGTGCACATACGTGGTTTTTCAGATGAGCCAGAATTTATAGTTCCAAATTGCAATATGCAGTCCATTTATACCCTCAAACACGCTGAATATCTGGCTGGAAACACACATCGGAACAATATGCGTAATGGTGTAATGTGTGAAGTATCTCTTCGATGTCGAAGGCGCTGAAAATGCTGCGGCGTACTTGCCGGCAAGCTGTTAGTTGCCCACGATAACTTAGATTGTGACGTTGTTTCTCGCAGTATAATCGTGTTGTCAACTATTCGTGGAGCTCATATTGAAAATAAATATGTTTTGAACAGAACCTTCTTACGGAACTGGAGTCAACTGAACTGGGTAAAATATTTGCCATTAGTGGGTGAAACTTTAATAATGGCCACACGGTGGTAACTGTCAGAAGTAATTGGAAACGAATAATAGAAAGCTCATTATTTCCGCTGAATATGTATGAAATACATTTGTTTACCTCTGAGTTATCTGTTCGACATCCGATGCCTGACTCCAATGGCAAAGAAAGTGGAAACAATAATTTGTCTGTCAGGTGGGTACGTAGCCAAAGTGCTATAAATGGAAACATCTTACATTTATACTCCTTCCTAGTCACAAAGTGCCTACCAAAGTTGTTATTGTTAATGGAAAAATGTATTTTCATTTATTTTTCAGCATCTAAAGGTCCTGGCGATGGCAATTATGCCGAAAAGCTTCGACCAAAAATTATAATCGAATAAAGCAGTTTTATGTAGGTTAATACTTGCACGTTTTTAGCACTTTGGCTACATACCCTCCTAACAAATTAATTGAGTGCTACTACCAACTTGTTAAAAATTAATCATAACTTGTCGAAGAGCCTGACTTTAACGGAGAAACCAGGCCGTTCACATGGTAATTCTCAGTTTTGAAGTATCCACTATATGAGTTTAAATTTAAAGGCCAACTTGAACCTTTCTTAACTACAATGTAACTGCGTCAACCCCTCCTGATGAAAAGAGCTTCCTAAGGAACGTCTACGAATACGACCCGGCGGACTCTACAGCCCGGGACCTGAAATAGTTTCGTTTCACCTGAATCGGAATATCCAGCCGCGGTAAGTGGGTGCTGTCTGCGGACTTGAATAAATCCCCGACGCGCCGGAGGCTGCCGGATTTCATCATAAAACAACTCGTTTTCTATCGATCATCACGGAAAAATCCTGAAAATCTCACACAACTTGTCAACCCTGTCGCTGACAGACGGGCCATAAATCCACACTCGGCTCGGCTTCAAAGCAAGCGGGCTTTGCATTGCGGAGTCGTCGACACGGCTGCCTAATTTCCGGGGGAAAACATCAGGTTTCCTCGATCCACGGCGGCTCCAGCCGCAGAACTGGCAACGTCGCGCGAACTGCGTTTTGGCACACAATTTTTTCGGGAAAAATGATTTATCACCGCTCTCGCATCATATGTTCGATGTTGTGGCCGCGCACAATCTGTTGTTCGGAGAGTGTTCGAATTTAAAATATAGTTGTAGGAAGTTGTTTTATAAATAAAAAAACTTTATCCGCGGCGAAAAGCTCCGAATTCGCGCGCGTAAAAATATAGGCGAGGCAGCTTTCGCTCCTGCTGTACCTCGATCGGTGTCTATTTGACACAGTTTTATTGATTTTCGCGCTGTTTTCGCCGTCTTCCGGGGTTTAAATTATGAAAGCATCACCGGAGACAGGGGATTTCCGCAGCCTTCGTCATTGCTTACGTTGTTTACTCAAGGTCATACTCACGATAAACGCGCGAAAAATTGCCGGGCCTAAAAATTTAATTACCGTACTACATTGACTTCGATGCTGCTCGAAAATTTTGCGAAAATTTCTACTGTCAATTAGATGGATTTATTGGAATCGTAGTCTGACCAATTATTCGGAAAAACACGCATTTGGATGATCTTGTTGATTTTTTTTTTGTAACACAAGTAATGAGAACTTTGTGATGGAATCATTAGAAAGTGTCAGCGATTTAGACCTTGAAAATAAGGCTACTCGTTTTTCGTCTATTTTTCCTCGTCTTTTTCTGACTTTGCCATAAATATCTGGAGCTTCTGCGCTACAAAGAAAGATAATTTTTAATTAAGTTGATCTGTTAATGAAGAAAAATCATGAATGACATCATTTGAACAAAAGCTTTTACAATAATGCACTTTGAATGTATGTTAAGCATGCATTGCTCTTATTAAGCCAGACCCTAGTTTTCTCCGACACAGACAATTACGAAGAAAAAATTAAATGAAAATAATAATAATTTGTCAATATTTTTTAAAGACAGGTCTCTTTCAGGTGCATGAAAAAAAAGTTAAATAAAAGAATAGAAAAAGCTGAAAGCGTTTCGCGTTTATTGATTTCCTTTTTTTGTACGTTGGAATGAAAGCGCAAGAAAATATATGCTCTTTTTTTTTTCATTTAAAAAAAAAATAAATTTTTTTGACACATGTCTGCAGTATAGGATTCACACGATTTCTTGGATCCATTTATTGTCGCTTTACCTGCACAAGTAAACTTAGTTTAACATTGTTATGCGACTCACACTGCACAGTGTCTGGTGCTTATTGCATTATTTAAAAAAAAAAAAAAAAGAAAAAAAAAAAACTGAGTGACAAGCTCAAAAATTGAGTTATTTTCTCTTTTTCTGCACTTTCTTCATTGGTAGACAATTCTTTATCGATCATTTAATTATGGATGGACCGAAAATAAGCAGATAGAAAGCTTTAGGCAGAGAAAGTAAACATTTCAGAAACTTGCTCCTCGCATATAGATACTGTATTTGAAACAAATAAAAAATAAATAAATAAACAATATATCACTACCTCGTCAGTGGAGACATGATCTAGCGCTAGTGTCTGTTTTGGCGGATTTAATTTCATTAAACAAGAGTGACCTGTCCTAGCGGCTCCTTTACACCCTACGGAAAAAAGATAAAAGCGTAAATAAGAAATCAAATAAGCTGAATCAAGCGTCTAGAATTGCCTTGCGGCCTAACTTCCTTGTTTGATTACGTGATGAGAGATTTGATTTATATTTCTAATCTTGGCAAGCGACTTGTCTAGTAGGGAAATGTATAAATCGTCGCTAAACGACGAATTAAGCGACACTATTTCATGAGAAAGTCAGGTAGGGCGAGAAATGAACCGTTCAAAATGAAATTTTTAGACTAAAACTATTTCAGAAGACTAACAGAATGCGGAAGCGTTAGGGATAAAATGGACGCTTCAGTTAGTGGCGCGGATTAAGGGTTCACCCTTCGCATAGCCTTATTTTTATGAATTATTGTGCAAATTATTAAAGTGGCATCTCCTAAGGCATCCACGCACAGAGATGGAAAGTGAAATTTTACGTTTTGAAATTTCATAAGCCTCGAATAAATTTCACAACAGTTGAAATGTATTATTTTTTTTTTTGAATTATTGATTGAACCTTTGAACGTCTGAAAGCGTTTCAGATGGTCTTTCTGTTGATGCTGCGGTGTTATGCTACTCTACTGAAGGTGCCAGACACAAAGAGGGGGCAAAAAGGGGAGTTTAGAGAGAAAAACCCCAACCTAACCTCTAAACTAAAAGCAAACATATGCAACGCGCGAATGTTTTAGGCTTCTGGTAAAAAATTTCAAAATTTAGAATCACTGTTTCTAGGCGTTTCTAAGCCTCCTGAATGTATCCCCAGAAGTTTCAATATATTTCATGAAATTTTCCATCTGTGTTCACGCAGGATATATTTCAGGATTTTTATTTCCGGAAAAATATGGAAATTATTCTTACGCCGTGAGACTCACGGATTTTTAACAATCTCAGCGTTAACAGTGCGTCCAGCAAATTGGCAACATTGTTTTCCTCCATTTAAACCTATAGAGATGTATTTCGGGTGCTCCGACAAGAATCGATTATTTAATATAGCTTTAAATGTAGGAAATCCGGTGTTGCCAATAAATTACTGGATCTGCTTCTGTGTCATCATTGCCACTTGTTGAATTATTTAGGTATCGGAAGTACTTTCCCACCAGTCAACACGGGAAAAATGGAACTGCTTATTTAACAATTTTGTAGTTAAAAAAAGTTTCCAACATGTTTCAATGTAGATTTTACAATAAAAAAATACTAACCTAACCACCTCCGTGGTTGAATTGGCTTCTTACTATTGTGAAATATACATTTGGACGTATTTCTGTCAAACGGAGCTATGTGCATTCAGACATGAGCCCTGAGACTCATAAGACTATATGCATAACAGGACTCACGTCACAATGCACATAATTCCGTTCGGCAGAAATTCATCCATTTGAAACATGTCGAACATATTTTTTCACAATTTAATTGTTAAATTAGCATTTCATTTTTTCCGTGAATGACGGGTTAAGGCTTGCATGACTGCTCATTGATCCAAATTCCATAGATGGGACTCCATAAGCATTGTAAAAATTGCAGAACACGTAGCTCGATCGCAAACTTTCAAAATCTCCTCTAGTGCTCAATTTTTTCCAAAAAAAAAAAAAAGGAAAAAACCCCATGGACGTCACTCTTCGAAATCTTTACAAAACATTCTGAAGAGAACGAAGAGAAACCAGTAAAAATTCCAAGACACAAGAGCCATTGGTCTCTCTTCAGTAAAAATTAAACTGTGACAAGAAATCTTCAACCTTGCAAACCGAGATACGTGTTTTGTGACTTCTAGCATTGATATATGTCGGTAAATTTAATGATTCTATAATTCGAATGTATTCAGAAAAATGGAGACAAGAGCCGTTAAATAGAATTTTTTATTTCAAACCGTCACCTCCCTCCCCCTCTAAACAATAGTATTGATGGCTCCCATGATAATTTTAAAGTTGTTTCGTCTCTGGAGGTAGCTTAAAGTACTTAAGCAGACGTTTTTCGTCAACACTCACTTAAAGTAAACTGACTCCCAGTCTAGCCCAGTTCCGTGCCCTGCTACAGTGATGCCGGAGTTACGGTCGCGAGATATTGATATTCTTGTCGTAATGGGTCAATAGGTCAGTTGCGTTAGTCACAGGATCGTATTTTGATGGTTTAAGCATGTAGATTAGAAGAAAACAGAGAGATCCATTCAAACGCAAAGTGTCTACGTCCAATATAAAAAGAGATATCGCCCATCGAAAACACGGCGTATTACGTCATCTACCGCGGTTGTTCGTACCATGGTTTTTTCACCTTGGTTTCGCCTATCAAGGAATATGAACATTTATACTGGTTGTTCCTGTTCGACGTGAACACAGAAAAGACCAAGGTGGAAGAAACCATGGCATGCACTCCTGTTGTAGATGATGTCATGCGCTGTGTTTTTCGATGAGCGATATCTCCGCTAATATTGGTTGTAGAATTTGACGTACCTATGTAGAGAACATATTGATTTTTGCTACTCTATCAGACAAACCTTCATCTGTGACATAGTATGCAACTGATACACTGAGCTTGTCAAATATTCGTATTTTGATTATTCCAGAGTATAGATCAGCAAAAAATGATGAGATCTGTCCAAACACCAAATTTCCACCCTCGATATTAATAAATTAAGGTATTGCCCTCCAAGGAACATTGTAGCAATCCGTCTGACGTCATCCATGGTGCATTACATGGTTTCCTATACTTTGGTTTCACTCACATTTTAAGTAAAGGAACCAGTGCAAATGTGTGTGCCAATAATTGATAAATTCAAGGTGGAAGAAACTATGATACGTAGACTACCACAGTGGATGACATCATTCATATACGGTGTTTTCGAGGGGCGATAGCTCAGGGCAATTGGATAGCGCATCTAAATGCGGTTCTGTGATCTGCGAAACTGAGCCATTGTTGTACTTTTAAAATTAAATGTCTGCCAGCGAAACTCGGTGAAAAAATTGTGTAGATATATTCCGGTTCGATAAGTCCGCTCTCTTTTTGTGCCGTAGTATCTTGATTTATTTTGCGCTGAAAGTTCCGTACTTTTGAAGGATGCCTGCCATTCCTAATATGATGGAGCGCCTTCAATTTCGTATGATACTCTGCAATACCTCTGGTGTGAAATAGTTGCTTCAAGCGCCGTGGCACGCTGCGGCGCGGCGGGCGGGCAGCCAGCGCGAAAAGGCAATGCGTGAAGTATCCCTGTTAGGTTTGTAGGCGCTAGTGCGCGCTTATCGCTGGCAGCACACCGCGCCGCTCCGCTCTGTGTTAGGCTCCAATATCTAATCTCGCGGAGTCAGCGTTTTTCAACTCATGATTTTGAAATGTTTGCACATCCTGTAAGGATTATTCTCATTTTAATTGATAAAAAAAATATGTATTAAAGGAAAATATAATGTGTGTTTTGTAAATATTGTGGTGGTTCCGTATCAAACTTAATGATTTCCAAAGCACACGAATTTCTACACAATGTCTTATAGCCTTTTATAGCCGATGGCGATAAAGTGTAAAGCCCGGCGATAGGAACTAAAGCCCGGCTGTATACTTTTTTATCGCTTCGTATAGCCCGGCTATATGATTTGCTCCGCTTTCTACAGCCAGCTGTATGATTTTCTATTGCCTTCTTTACCAGGCTATAAGAATTCCTAGGGTATTTTGAAACGCAGCTCCTATCGCCAATTTTTACCAGGGGCTGCCTGGTTTTGATACTCCTTAAATGATTTTTTTAATGATGGTTAACTGTAATTTTCTGTGCCTTTTATTTTGTAAATTTTTGTAATATTCTCAAATGCTTTCCTATGATCTTTAATGTATCTATATTTATGTGTAAATTTAAGGGTTCTTTTTTTGGACAAGTGTTGTGAGCCACACCATGTGGCATTTATATACACTAATGTTAAATAAATAAGTAAAATAAATATTATTATTTGATTATAGTTGAGAAACATTTTGCGTGGATTGGCATCGCTGCTCGGTCATCCTAGTTCACAATAGACACGATACGGCCCATTCGGCTGCCAGCCAAGTTTCCCATGAGTTACTGTGTTATTAATTTTTAACTCATTCGCCTAATTATCATTACTCTGTTATACTTTTTTGTTCTATTTCATGGTTCATGATGTTGACAAGAAACCAGGAAGTGGAAACTTCATTCAATACCTAAAAATATGAAAGGAATGGATTTTATTTAGTACCCTACTTGCAGATTATGGGATTAGTTAAAGAATATGACGAAACTACGAAATTACGAGAGGACTTCCGATTTTTTAGGTGACAAAATACTAGGATGCTGAGTTGACGTGGAGGTTAGGCTCCACCCACTGATCGGGCACATAGGGTTCTCCTCTGCCCCATCAGCCATGCTACGTGGTGCTTTTGAGACCATCACATTCAGACTCTTTGGGACCGATTAACGGAGAAAACATATGTTTCCCAAGGCCTCTACATTAATTTAACGTCCTGGTTTTTTTTGGAGAGGGTCTCTGTCCCCCGCTTTTACGGGTCGGTATTTCGGAAAAGGGTCGACTTATTGGTTTCAAGTAAAGTTATAATTTATCGTAATTTTTGATTTTGATACAAAATTTGTAGCGTTTTGTCTCGAATCCAAGCTTTCATAATCATTAGGGCCCTCTTTCTACCCTCCAGCGGAATTTGGCGGGTTTTAGGAGTCCTGGGGTACGATGAAATTCGAATTTCTTGGGGTTGATCCTGATCTCGTCCGACCTGAGATAACCGAGAAAAAAGCCTGGCACGGGTCGTGTGGGTCACCCTGTATGAGTTCACGAAACCTTTGGGTGCTCAGCACCTTACATGGCTCAACCTTGATTCATGATGGACGATGCATAAAATTTAAAATTCAGCAACTCGCGATATTTTGAGAAATTTTACTGTCGCAATTGCAAGGACTGGAGCACTGACAGTCGTTGAAATGACAGTCGTAAAGCTAGCCGGGCGACTTAAGAGGGAATGTCTGTTATAAATTCGCTAACAAGCAGCGAAGAGAGTTAGAACGAGGCATTAATGATGTTTCAAAGAATAACACCGAGGATAGCTGACGATCTCGCGTAGAATTCGGAAAAGTTCGAGAATGTCGATACAAGCGCTTCGTAAATTTGAACCTTTCCGATCGAGGTTTACTTGGATTGCATTTTGCAAAAAGGAATTAAGAGCATTTCAATGTTGCTAGGATTATACAACTTACATTATTTGCAATTCATTTACTGAAATCATGTGAAAAAAAATTGTACAAAGACAATTTTCGTCTTAAATTTACAGTTTATTGGGAGTAAGGGTAAAACTTGACTTGATGATCAATTTATGTTTGCAAGGTAGAAAAGCTGCACAATTTTAGCAACTTTGGAATGCTCTTGGCTCCTTTTTTGCAAAATGCAATCCACTTGTATAAGAGTGGAACAAAATTATTAATCTGGTGTGGGGAGGGAAAGGGGTCGCGGGTACCCATTTGGGCATAAACCGTTTCTCGTGCCTTTAACTTAAAAATATGATAAAAACGCCGTTGGTATAAGTATTCGAACGTTGCCAAATTTCTTCTTAAAAAGTATTAAATTTCCGAAAAAAAGTTATGAATATTTTTCCTTGAATGTTTCAAATCAAATTACGAACAAAATCCTCTGAAAAATCGAAGGAGAAATATTCACAAATTTGCCTGAAAATTCGTGATTTTTCGAGAAATTTGACAACGCCCGATGGCTCATGCGACATTCTTGCTTAGTATGACAGAACAAGCCGGTAGCGTTCAGCTTAATGACAACTCTGCAAGAATTCTATCTTAACAAGGACGGAGAGCCGTATACTGAACTATAACCTTTTTCACTTTTCCATTTTCAAACAGGACTTGATGTACCCTTCCGAATATAATTCTTGTATAAATTTGTGGTTCCGGTAAAACCAATCTAAGAAATTCAATGAAAGATACCACAAACATGATAAATCCCATTAACCATAACTACATCAAGGTAATGAGTTAAACTAGGATTTTATCTATTTCTAGAGGTCTACAAGGCCCAGCTATAAAATTTTGGATGAAGGTAATCTAAGTCCTGATAGTGCATACCATAAGCAATGCAATCATGCCTCATCCATCGCATGCTTTTTCATAAGCGTGCGAGGGGGAAATCGCCGTATTAGCATTCGAGCGGTGCCAAATGTAATTAAAATATATACGAACTTTTCAAGGAACTTTTAAAAATAGTTTGTAAAATTTGCAGAGGATTTTTGGCGGAATTTTATCTCGCAATTCCCAAGACGTCAAGAGACGTTTCCTTAGATTTCCGCAGAAATGAATGTTTAATCGGAAGAAATTTGGCGACGGTTGATTGTTCATACGGTATTCTTCCATACCATATGTAACCTCAGTATTTTTTAATGATTGTCTGGTGAACTTACCATTTCATAATGGCCTGGCTTGAATCTGTCGCCAGTCTTGAGGTAAAATCCTTGAAAGGTAAGCCAGCGCACAAAAATATTGAATACAATTGAACAAATAGTACCTGAAATTGAATATGTGTCACTTCAATGTATATACGAACGGAAGCTTAATTCTTCCGGATCAAATGAGACGCACTTATGAGAAAATTACACACAATTCCCAACCGCGTTCTTACAGTTTACAAGAATTAAGTTTAGATTATCACTGAACACATATTATTTACGGCAATTATTTTATCCCAATCGCAACAACTTAATGGAGATTCGAAATTGATTGAACAAAAATCACGTTTATAGAATTGTTCCTAGTTTCTTTCCAAGAGCAGACACTTTTTCAAGTCGAAAAATATGCAATTTTCAATCCGAAGCGTAGTGTCAATTGTCCTCGTTTCTTTTAATCTACGAAGCACTCGAGGACAACTTAAATGCAGCTTCCGGCATACAAAAAAATTGGCTGTGAGAATATTCCAAACTCTTTACGAAAAATTCAACACAGAACTTGTAATTTTTTAAAAGCGATAACTACTACTTTAGCGTTTTTTAAACTACTTCAGAAATGTTTCAAGTCAGGAAGTATATAGTACCAAAAGATTCTTCCAAAAAAATCTGATAGAAATTATGAAATTGCCTATCAACTATCAGTACATAAACTGTCTTTTGGAGAATGAATTTTCCACAATTTTTTTGAAAAACGCAGCACAAACTTCGAAATTTTCCGTAACGACAGAAAGCTGCGGCGACAGCGTGTAGGTAAATTTACGTTAAAATCCACCGCGATTTTTCCGGAAACTAATCTCAATTTACCCCGTACCGATTTTCGAGTTTCAATTATGTAAAAGCTTAAATAACAAGCGAACAGACGCGAGCAGAACTACAACTTCTAAAAGCGAAACAACTTTGGTTTAAAAAAAATTGACCAAAAAACGGCGGATCCCGACTCTTGCGAGCGCACAGCCGGACCCTGGGAGCGCGGAAAATTTGACGGGGAAACCGGCGCGAAAATTTCGGAGCCTGGATACGCGCACAGCGCTCGGCGAGCGACGAAAATTTGTTGCAGGCCGGCTCGAGCCTCCGCGTTGCTTGGGCGAACAACGGAGCACACACAATATTTCAACCACTTGCCAACACGTGAGCCCCCGCCCCCCGCCCGCCCGGGGTTCCGTGTTACCCGAGTCCCGTCCCGGCGGCGGGTCGGCCCCGACAAATTGGCACTAATGACCGGGCTGACGTCACTGGGTCCAGCCAGTCACCGCTCTCTGCCTGCTCCTTGATTGTTGAATCGTTATCGAATGACCTTGATCGATATATGGCATTGTGAAGATAGGGAGTTATCGATCAAACTCATTCGATTACGATTCAGCAATCGACGCGCAGGTCTGCCTAGATCAACGAGGACAGGACGATGTCGTTAGACCTAGAGAAGGTTTTTCGATCTCGATCGGGGGCCAGGCCAGGCTGCCTTCGAAACTGGACCAGAAACAGTGGCAGTCAGCCTCCTGTGATGTAGTGGTTGTTGCTCTAGCTTTATGATCGGAGGTCCCGGGTTCGATTCCCGGTCAGGCGACCCGAGTTTGTAGGTCTCAAACAATGGTTGCCTGCATTGGTGGATCCAGCAAATTAGTAAAATTGTCTTTTCTCCATTTAAACCTATGGAAATGTATCGATTCTTGAAGGGGCCAGGTGCTCCCTCAAGAATCGATTATTTAGCATAGGGTTCAATGGAAGAAATCCGGTGTTGACAAATTGCTGGATCCGCCTCTGGTTGCCTGGGACTGGTTGTTCAGTAGGAACGGAGGGGAGGGGTGTGGCAAGACTAAAGCGCGGGATTATAACCATTGTGGCCAATTTGAAGTAGGGGGGCAAAAAGTAGCTAGAATTTTTCTCTAGCGAGGGCAAGGGTCAAATTCACCTGAAATTTGAAAGGCTTGGAGGACAAGGCGTACAGTGCAGTTTTTGAAAAATTGAGATATCAATGATTTCAAGTAAAACTAGTCTTAATGGATATTCTGTGAACAATTCGCTCCCAAATTCGAATTTTTAAGCATCAGAAAGTCAGTTTGAGCTTTCTCTCCGCCATAAGGATCCGTGTAATTTCAAAATTTCAAACATGTATTTCTCGAAATAGCAAAATCTGCTCCTATGCGCCTTGTTCTCCAAGCCCCTCAGTTGAAGCCTTAATCCTGATTTCCTGAACATGTATGATTGTCCTCTTTGGTCGATGAATCGACGGATTTTAATATTGAAATAAAATACCTCTTACTCGAGGGGTGATTACGGCCCTTGATTTGTATTCATGGGCTAGAGTAAATTTTCGGCACACATTTGGTAAAAGTCTTGAAGTGAGATTCGGGGTGTTCGGACCCTATGGATCCTTATGGCGGGACGCAAGTTAAAACTGACTTTTTGATGCTTAAAAATTCGAGTTAGGGAGCGAATTGTTCACAGAACATCCATTAAGACTAGTTTTACTTGAAATCATTGATATCTCAATTTTTTCAAAAGCTGCATACATGCGCCTTGTCCTCCAAGCTCCTCAATTGTAATTTCGATAGCTCCAATTTCAAAGTCAGCAAGCGGGAAAGTTCAAAAATGTCTCGAATACGTTTGGGAAAATATTAAAATGATAAAGAATTTTAGGGATGAAAGTCTTACAAAACTACTGCTCACTTGCTAGCTGCTTGTCCGCTAGTTCTTTTGAGTTCAATAATTTTTTCATTACCTTTCCGAAAACGCGTAAAAATAATAATATCCAAGACTTAATATCAGTTACTATTTCTGCTCTTCTGAACAAAAAAACAAAAATGAGGATACGCCTTCTCATCAGCGAACAGCTTACTTTTCCATAAAAAATCACCAATGGGATTATACCGTCAACAAATCCTCTCTGAAAGTTGGCGGTGCCTGTACTATGTATTGTCCTTTTGGCTCCAAATCAAACCGAAAATTTGTATTTTCGGTAGGCCTCTATCTGTTAATTTGTTTCTTCGTTAATCTAGAGCACAGATCAACTCAAATATTGGACAATCGAACGTGATGAGAAATTAGTGGGCGTGATTTGAATTAATTGGTGTCTAAGCCGACGAGGGGTGTGACGATATCAGGAAAGAAACATGTGAAAATTCTGTCATTGCCTCATCATCCAGCTGGAGGTCACTCTTTGTTGCTTACGGTCAACTTTTCAACTTAGTCTTTGATTGAGCTATTTTAAATCCCTATAAAATTAGAAATTTCAACAGTTTTTTCCATGCAGTAGAAAGAGATAGTCACTCAAGACATATCCCTCTGTATTCACAACATCAATATAATGTCCTCCAAACATTCCATAAGACAGGAATGTCTGAATATGTCTTTACACACTAATGGCTGTGGAAGCCGTACTTACGGGCTATATTGGAATATCGTCCGCGTTTCGGGCTCAGACGCCGAAAGTTCGGGGTGTAGCACCCGGAGCAGTCAAAGCTACGGCTTCAGGACCCGGAACTTTCGGCTCCTGAGCCCGGAACGGACGGTATATCTTTTCGCCCGTAACTTTTCTTTCAGTACATCGATTGCCACATCAAAGTCATCGATAGTTCGATATTCGATACACAATTGGACGTATTTCTATCAAACGGAACAAAGTGCATTATGACGTGAGCCCTGTTATGCACATATTCTTATGGGCCCCAGGGCTCATGCCTTGATGCACATAGTTCCGTTTGGCAGAAATGCGTCCAAGTGTCGAGAGCATGACATTTTCTTTAAAAGTAAACAACCGTTATGGATGTCCGCAGTTCGCACGTCAAAAATTACGCCTGCATTTTTTGCACGGCTCGGTTCAATTTAGTTGCAATACAAAGGATAAACAGTCGAGAATACATTTTATTTTATGTTTAGCGCCACCCACGAGTAAGATGGGGTTCAGTGCACTGAGTATCCGCCGGTGAGGCTGGATGCCTCCCGCCGGCCAAGCCAAAGCCGATATACCGGCGTCGATTTATTAATGGCCAATTATTGACGTCGCGGGAAGGGGAGGGGGCAGAGCTCGGCGCAACGTGCCAAAAATCGAGCAATTAATGTACTTGGGGGCCTGAAAAGCGCACTCGTAAACGCCTCGTAAAAGTTCATACCCTCTCCGTTATGTCTTCACCTCTCCCGTTATACACACTGCCTTACTTTACCTTTTTCGTTCACTCCGTTTATTGATTGAGTATCCATCACACGTACCAGCTGGCTGATTATTGAAATTGGTAGACAACACTGGAAAAAAAAAAAAAAAAAAAAAAAAAAAAAAAAAAAAAAAAAAAAAAAAAANAAAAAAAAAAAAAAAAAAAAAAACGCATTGGATCTAGAGTCCAGACTATACTGAAAATATTGACAAGAAAAAATTCTGTAGATTCAATCAGATTTTTGCTTACATCAAAAGGAGATCCGCTTAATAAGAGACTTGATTCTTGATTTAAGCTAGATTCTGATTGAATCAAGAGTACTTTTTCTTGTCGATGTTTTTAAGAGTCTGGACTCTAGGTCCAATGTGTTTTTTTTCCAGTGTAGGGTTATTTTGTCTTTTACCTCCCGTATTAACCAGCGGGCTGATTATTGAAATTGTAGACAACACTGGAAAAAAAAACGCAGTGGATCTAGAGTCCAGACTATTGAAAACATTGAAAAGAAAAAATACTCTTGATTCAATCAGACTTTTGCTTAAATCAAAAGGAATTCCGCTCAAATTAAGAGGCTTGGTTCTTGATTTAAGCTAAAATCCGATTAAATCAAGAGTATTTTTTCTTGTCGATGTTTTTAGGAGTCTGGACTCAGATCCAATGTGATTTTTTTCCAGTGAAAGCAATATACAAAGAAGACAGAAAGGATATGGAGGGATCCTATTGGTGGAAACGGGTGGTTGAAATAGACAAAGGAAGTAGGTAATGGACTGACTAACGGAAAATCACAAGGGACCCTTTAGTTAGTCCATCATTTATCTTCTTAGTCTATGAGAACCACCCATTTCAACCAATATAGCATCGCCCCATACTCCCTACGTCTTCTGCGGTTATAGCATTGTTTATCGATTTCGACAATCAGCCCGCTGGCCAGAATCAGAAAGAAGAAAGAGAGGAAAATGCCGGCAGGACACAACCCTCTCAGGATTGAAACAGTTGTCCTACCAGTATGAAACATTGTAATTGTGGCTTGGAGGACAAGGCGCATAAGTGCGGTTTTTGCTATTTCGAGAAATACGTGTTTGAAATTTCAAAATTACATGAATCCTTATGGCGGAGAGAAAGTTTAAATTGACTTTTTAATGCTTAAAAATTGTAATTTGGGAGCGAATTTTCCACAGAATTGCATTAAGACTAGTTTTACCCTAAAATCATTATTATCTCAAAAACTGAACTCATGCGCCTTGTCCTCCAAGCCCTTCCATTACGATTTACTGAAATTGTCTAAAAGAGAATTTTCAGTGTTGGGGTATTGCCATCTGTCATTTAGACAGGTTAGTAGAAACGTGCCCGCCTTTGCGAGGTGGTGGGTTTACTATT